CAGGCGAGTTGATTAGCTGCTCATTTGGCAGAAGCCCCATTTAACACGTGCCATTTAGGAAAGAAAGGACCGCCGCCCCCTCCCTTTCCCGTCCACCCCACCCGTCTTCGCCCCTTTTGTTTTCTCTTACCCAGACGGCTGTTCTATTCGCCAGCTGCAAAATCTGACGGACCGGTCATCGAATGGTCATCCAAGCAGCTTCCCCCCTCCCTTCTCCGTGGTGCTGCTGCTTCGGTCATCTTCGCCCAGCAGTTCACCTTCGGACAAGGGTCACTCTTTTGACCTTTTTAGATCACAAATCTGCGAGCCGTCTAAATTGGACTAGACGATGCGCGTGCGACCTTTCACCAGCAGCTGACCACGCCTGAAAGGGTCACCAACTGTTGTGTATACACCAAGAGGCTAGGGAAAGTTGGCTGGACGTCCAGGGCTATCAGACCCGTACGGCTTCTCGTGACATCCAAGACGGATAGCTCACGCTTCACGGGCTTTCTTTACTACCGTCGCTGCGGTGGTGTATTTGGTTACGTAGCCTACTTGGCCTGCACACAAAAGCTAGTGGTTCAGGTCTGGATGCGATCTGAAGTTCTGCTCGTATTTCAGTTAACATTTTCTCTGCGAAAGTTTGTGGATTCAACACTGCATTGTAGTTTGACAGACATACTAAAATCCTCGTTAAAAAAACAAAAACAAAAACAAAAAAACCCAAACAAAAAGCAAAAAAAAAACAAAAAACAACAACCCCAAAACAACAACAACAACAACAACAACAACAACAACAACAACAACAACAACAACTAAAAACAACCCACAAAAAAGGCGCGATGCTCTAAACTAAGGACAACGTTGGAACATTTATATTGGTTAATTATGCTATGTAATGTATTTATAGTTCCATCATGCCCCTCCCCCCCTCCCCCCTTTTTTTTTTTTTGCTTTCTTTTCTTTACTTACCCACGTGTATCTTCGTGGTGCCAAATTATATTAATTAAAATCGTGCCTCTGAAATAACTGCAACAAAACTATAACAAAACGAAATAAATCGAAACAAACCCTGATGGACCATGGTCAGTGTCTGGACTTTAAGAAACGCTTGGTGTTTTAGAATCTGTCATATACCGTGTTTCCAGAATTCAGTTTCCTTATTTTTGATGGAAATGTTGGTGTATTTCGTCGTGTTTGATGTTGTTGTTTTTGCTTTTTTATTTGCTTATATTAATATTGGTTTATTTTTTCATGGTTGTTTAGTTATATGTTTTGTTTGGATAGTAAAACAAAACAAAAACACACTCACAAACTGCTGCACCTGAAAGTCTTCCAAGTGAAACGTTGGACTTGGACTTTATCTGCTTAAAACAAATAAAAATTTATATTTTACTTCTTGTAGGCCTACTGTGTGTCTATTTCCGAGATTCAGTCCTAAAAGATAATGTTCATGCCCCATAATAAAGATAATTTTCTGCTTAGGCCTACTACCCTGTGATTTTTTCCATAATTCTGGTCTGAAACAAAATTATGGATGGATGAATCTATTTTTCTGTATTTGAAAGGATAGAAGTG